TGGAGGTTGGAGGCTGTTGCCACCTCTGAACAAAGAATGTCTCCTATCCTAACCGCATTTTGCATCTTCTTCCACCCACAGGGACCCTGAATCTGCTTCCTGGGCCTGAGCCCCTCTGTAGAGCCTGGCTTAGATATTTTATTTATTTATTTTTATCCTTTTGAGAATAGGCTTCATACATCTTTATGTATGCCCCTTACCTCTTTATACTCAGTGTTAGTTTACTGGGGGAAAAGATATTCCTTTTATATAATCAGTATACAGTCATCAAATGTAGGGCCTCTTTTTATCTAATCTATGATCACCAATCCAGTTTTGTCAATTGTTCCAATCAAATCTTTCAGAGCATGTCCCCCTTTGGCATGGGTTTAAATTCAGGATTATATATTGACATTAGTTATCAAGTCAGTTATCAATTCCCTGCTTCTCATAAAACTTTACCTTCTCATAAAACTTTAGCCTTACATCCATTGATGATGGTTGTTCAACCTTTACTATGATTGTTGCAAAATGGTGATTTTCTAACTCCACCCTCTCCTCGAACTTATCCGTGGGAATTACTTTAAGGAAAACAACTTTCTCCTTTCCCCTCTTGCTCACTTTCTCACATTTGCATATTTTCACTCATGGATTCTTATTTTATTCAGTGGGTTATAATTTATTGATATTCTTATTTCTGATATCCCAATTATCCCAGATTCGGTCAGTGAGAAGTCCTTCAGGCTGGCTCCTCTTGACATGCCCCCTTTTAATTTCCTGGACACATCCGTACAAAATGTTCTGGCACAAAATGTTCCAGATTACTTGTAGCTTTCTACCCTAGTTCTTAAATCAGTCATTCCTTCCAAGAAGCCCTGGTTCATTTTTGTGGAGAAATGTATTTAGAAATCAAAATTTGAGAAAGGAATTCTTTAATTTTGAAGTTAGTCTCAATCATAATTTTTTTAAAATGAACATTTATATCTGATTTGGCAGTTATCCCCCACCTTTGTAATAAAGTGAAACAAAATATTTGTTTGGGGGTTTTCGGGGGGTGGTTTTTTTATTTACTTGAATAGAATTAATTCTTACTAAAATTATTAGAAATGAGTATTCTCTGCAACAGCAACCTTGGATTCTAAGTGTCTAGATCTACTGGAATATAATATCTATTTTTTTTTTTGAGGGGGTTACTGGGGACTGAACTCAGGGGCACTTAAACACTGAGTCACATCCCCAGACCTTTTAAATATTTTATCTGGAGACAGAGTCTCACTGAGTTGCTTAGGTCCTTGCTAAGCTGCTGAGTCTGGCTTTGAACTTGTGATCCTGCATTGGGCTCCCCAGTCATTGAGCTTACAGGCATACTCCACCATGCCTAGTGATTGCATAGGATTTGAAAGTCTACAATCTATAGAATCTTGAAGATAAATATAATGAAACATGGAACATCTTATTGAATTCATTTTTTAAAGAAATTGAATCAAAGCTTTATGAAATTATACTTCATGCAATCAGATACCTATTGCAAAAGAGATTTTACTTTTTACAGTATAGTGATTACTGGAGATTGCTGTGTGGTTAACACCTCACAGTATTGTTTTATGTATGTGATAAAGATAAATCAACTAGAAAATGTTTGAAATAAGTACATTGATTTCTGTTTTAACTGAATGAAATAAAATACTCTGTTTCTTGATAACACAGCTCTGTCAACTCAAACACATTTGAAATACTGAAGGTGAAACTAATACTGGGGGCAAAGACCAAATCCATTTCTTTGTTCCACATACAGTATTTAGTATTTATTCCCAATTCCAACATTGCATGGGAATCATCTGGGACTTAAAAATCCAGATTCCTGAACATCATCCTTGTTTTACTGAAACAGAATATCCTGTGATCCAGGAATCTATTTTAAAAATTTCCCCATGGGGCTGGGGCTGGGGCTCAGTGGTAGAGTACCTGACTTGCATGTGTGAGGCACTGGGTTCAATCCTCAGCACCACATAAAAACAAATAAATAAAGATATTATACCTATCTACAAATAAAAAAATATTTTAAAAAATTTCCTCAGATAATTCTGAGGCATTTGATCATGAAACTGGTTTGGAAATTATTAGACTTGGCAAAAAAAGTATGTTTATTCTGAATGGAAGTCTCATTATAACAGTCAGCACTCTGTATCTGTGGGTTCCACATCTGCAGATTCAACCAACCAAGGAGCACAAATATTTATAAAAAAATTGTGTCTATACTGAACATGTATAGTTTTTTTTGTCATTATTCCCTAAATAATATAGTATAACAACTATGTATATAGCATTTAAATTGTATTAAGTATTATGGAGATGTTTAAGGCATATGGGAGAATATTCATGTTACATATAATAATATAAAATTTGTAGTATTACTTCATGGATATAATAATATAAAATCTACAGATTTTCTGGATCCCTCTAAGGGATACTGAGGGAAGATTATATACAAGTTGCCCAAGGGCAGGAACTGAGTTCATAAATTTTCACAAGCCCAGTACCTGTTATGAGCCTTACATTCAGTAGGCACTCAATATATTTGAAGAGAATTTTAACTTCAATTTTTATTGATTATCAGAGGAGTTTTATTAGTTTGTACAGCGGATATAAATCTTGGCTAGTGACATTATACACTCACATGTCAGAAAACCACCTTGCATACATCCTGAAAGACTATATTGAATTAGTGAACTGATTTCTAATGTAGAATGTGGTTGTGTTCAAGTCATGATTCTGAATTCTGCTAACTCCTATGTTCTTGAGTAATGAAGAAAAATACTAACATTTATGAGATTGGTCTAGTCTATAAATTATCTCTGTCTTGTTCCTCTTTCTTCTAAAATTACAATAGCAGCTAGCATTTGTATGGTTTAAAACAGTGACTCTGAAAGTGTGGTTGGAGAACTCCTAGGGAGAGGTTCTCCTGAAACCCTTTCTGGTGATCTGAGAGGTCAAGACTGTTCTAATAGTACACTCTTATTGGCCTTTATCACTCTCATTTTATCTTGAGATTAATGTGCAAGAGTGCAACAATTAATGCAGAAAAGACAATTAACTATATCCTATTAAGCCAATCATTAAAAAATTTTGTACGAGTATAAAGCCATGCTGTTTTTTAAAAAGTTATTTTTCATAAAAATGTTATATCAATATATAATGGATTATTATTTTAAAATGAAAAATATTAATAATTTTTTATTTTAATTTTTAATATGGTAAAGTATAACACATAAGCAAATGTATTTGGAGTCCTCAATAATTTTTTTTTTTTGGTACTAGGGATTAAACCCAAGAGTGCTTTTCCACTGAGCTACATCCCCAGCCCTTGTTATTTTTTTTGTCTTGAGACAGAGTCTCAGTAAGTAGCTTGGAGCCTTGTTAAATTTCTGAGGCTGGTCTTGAACTTGCTATTTTCCTGCATCATCTTCTGGAGCTGCTGGTATTACAGGTGTATGCCACCATGCATGGCAAGTCCTCAATAATTTTTAAGAGTGTAAAGGGATTCTGAGACCAAAAGCTGGAGAACTAGTGATTTGTTTTTACATGTTATTTAATAATTAGTTCAACTAGTTACTTTAGTTTATATAGAAAAGTAGTGCCTAAAATTAGTATTGAATTTTACCAATTCTTGAAAATTGCTTTTGTTCACCATATAGTCATGATTTAACTTTCTTTTTTCCTTGCTCTGAGAAAATTAATTTAGTTACTGTTTAAGGTTTCATGAGTTTCCAAAGTGTTCTGTAGTAATTTGTGACACAACTTGAAATTCCCTTCATCAGAGTTAATGGGCATGCTACCTGAGAAGGATAACATGCTAGGTATCTATTAATATATGGAAAGGACTTTCTTTATCAGCTTTCTCACTTAACAGAGAACAGGATCTAAATGAAAAGAGATTAAAGATACATTTTGATAGCTGGGAAGCAAATTCTTAACTACTTTGACGGGTAGATCCAGGGAAAAGCAGATTGAAGAATATTGTAGAATCCAGACCTCAGTATCTTTCAGATCATGTGTGCATAGCTACAGCATTTACAGAATTCCCTAAGAATCGTAGCTTGCTTCCCCACTTGTAAATGAATAAAAATAATATCTACCCCTCAGGTTGGTTGTAAATCAATATTGGGTTGTAGGTGAATGCTGTGAACAAGGTAATTTCTTTTTCTTAGGTTACTAAGGAGAGAGGGACCTTTAAGGAGAAATGAAGAATATATTTGATTTTGCTTACTTCACAAATGCTTCACTTCACAAAAGTGATAGTTTTGTCTGTCATCTTTTGTTTCTAAGGTGGTTGCCTTTTGTTTCTTTTTCCTCTTTCTTGGGTTTTCTTCCTTTCTCCTTCTACTGTGCCGGGCTCAATGGTGTTCTACAGCTCTGCTAAACAGAACAGTTTATTTATTTATTTATTTTTTGCAACTTAAAAGTTCTCTGGTATGATCATAAAATTTTCATTTTATTTCCATAGCAGGAGAGAGGATTATTCGTCATTCCATTTCCGACAGAAACACTTTCTTAGGGAGAAAAACATGTTATTAGAAGCGTAGGGACTAAATTCTGCGATAATATTAGTTTGCAAATAAAACACTTGAACAACTCATTCAGTAAAGGAAGTGGCGAGGTTTCTAAATAAAAAGAAAAAAAACACTTCAAGATCATGAAATAGGTACATTTTACCCGAAGCTTAAAAATAAAGGCTGTTGGAAAGAACCAACTTCCACCTCCCTGTGGCCCAGCTTTTATCACAGGTTCCTTTTTGCCCAACCAACGCGAAAATGAGAAGTCCCAATTCATTCCTTTTCAGACTCCTAGACCCCCTACGGGAGGGGAAAACCGGAAGAAATAATCAAGGGCTTCTGGGCTGCAGCCGGCTTTCCCGCCTAAACGATGAGGGGGCGGGGTCCGAGAGCGGGGCGGAGCCTCCTCTCTACCCTCCCCTTTTCCCGTGCTTTCCCCGCCCACTCATTTCGCCGAGATCCCGACAGGCCCAGCGGCTACGGGAGTCACGTGAGTGTGGGCGGTGGAGGGAGAGGCTTCTCTGGTTCTCGGTCTCTATGGTTGCCAGAGGTGGGCGGCTTTTGACCCTGGAGCTGCCAAAGCTCGAGCGTAGACGGGTGAGTCTAGGACTCTGAGACAGGTAAGGAGACAGCCTTTTAGGGAAGGCGAAGAGGGTGGCGGAACGGCTTTTAGGGACCCGGGCTGCGGGGCCAGCCCCTCGGGCTCCGGCGACTTAGGCGGGACCGCTGCTCCGACGCGCTCAGCTCCGGGTGCTGAGAGGCGTCCTGAGCCCTGCCTGCTTCCCGTCCTCCGCTTTCCTTCATCCCACCCGCTCCTTTATTCCTGTCCGGGGAGAACTTCTCCCAGTGCCGGTTCCCACAGGCAGGGTTCACTTGGGCGCCGACGTCCCTCTCAGCGGCGCCCAGTAGACACAGGTAGCCTTGACTGGTTCTCCTGGAATTTGTGGATGTGGTTAGAAGTGGGTGAGGGAGTTCACGGCTGGATCTCTGATGGGGAGATGTATTAATCATTGAGTCGAAAAAAGTGAAAATCATCGTCGCCTAAAGGGAACAAAACAAAGTATAGGCTTCTCGCTATTTTCTTTTTCAGTGCCTTTGAGTTCTCATTCTGTCTCTGTGTCCATCTCTGCCCGCCTCCCACCCCCTACTCTCCAGTTTCTCTCGTTTCCTTCTCACCGTCCCATCCTGGTACACTGATGTTTTGGGAACGAGCCGGGTGCTACTGACAATCTGTGTTGAAAGAGGAGTTTCAGACGGACTGTTCTTTTCTGTTGTCATCTCTGTAATCTTTACCTCTCACTTAGATGTCCGAAACTTTGTTAAGTATTGTAAATACAAGTAGAATAAACATTTTATATCTAAGGGATTATAAATATTCTCCTTGTGGAATCCAGGAAAGACATTGTCTTCTAGTTCTTTTATAAATAGATGTTTTTAATCACACTTTTTTTTCCCAGTGGCTTCTTTGATCCACTTTTGTTGTGTTAAAGCATCCTTTTGGGTCAAGTGTGGAAATGATTTAGCAGTGCTAGGAGTTTGCATAGAGTTAAACAGGTTTGAAGTTGAAAACTGTAGGAGAGTTTAGGTCTTTGAGCCATATGGCAAATTAACCAACCTGCTGGTTCTCTGAGGACAGGTAATGAGCGCTGAAGAATGCCTTATCCTAAAAGTTTTCAGAACTTACTGCTACTTATCTGTGAGAAGTTGTGGCCACCAGCTTATGTTTGCCCCAACTCTTGACAAATCTTTCATTATCTTTTCCATTTCAAAGACATCACTCTGGCCACCTCTTTATGCCAAGAAAGTGTTATTGACATGTAAGTGTCCTTACTGGGGATCCTAAAATGCCAAATAATATTAACAGAAAGTGAAGATGGCTTGTGTGCCTGGGGAGAATGGGAAAAAGTTATAGAAGCTAACAAAAGCTTTTTTAAACTGTCTTCCTGTATACTCAATAGAGTAATTGCTATATTCAGCACACTGTTTTTGGTGTGGGGGCATATAGAGTCTCACTCTGTTGCCCAGGCTGGCTCAGCTCCTGGACTCAAGTGATCCTCCTGTCTCAGTTTCCCAAGTAGGGGGGATTACTGGTGCCTACCACCGCTCCCTGCTTCGTTGAGTGGATTTTATATATTTCCAAAGAGCATATCCTGTGATTCCTTTTTGTGTATTTAAGAAAAAACTAACAGTATTTAATTTCTGTCATAATTCAATATTACGTTAAATAATTGTGACAGAAATACTTAACTGACCAGCTTCTTTAGGTCTTACAGTATTTAGAATTATAGTACTTCAGTAATTATTTACCAAATTGTCCAAATACATACTATGTTTAAAGTTACAAAACCTGAATATCCCAGAGCAAAGGTACAGGTTACATAATGACAATAAATATTTGCAGTAATGTAATTGATAAAACCTCATTTAAACATAGTTTTCCCATTTTTAAACTTTAAAGTTAGTTTCACATCTTGAGCAATTTTTATAATAACTGTAACACTTGCTAAATATTAATGATTTTTTCCATACAGAGTTGTTTAATATATTCATTTTTATATGAGAGCCATTTTTTTGTGGGTGTGGTTTTTTTTTCCTAACTTAGCTATACATGATAGCAGAATGTATTTTAGTTCATTGTGTACAAATGAAGTGCAGCTTTTCAATTCTCTGGCTGTACATGATGTAGAGCGGCACCATTCATGCAATCATACATGTATCTAGGGTAATGATGTTTGTCTCATTCCACCATCTTTTCTGCCCCATGTCTCCTCTCCTCCCCACCCTCCCCTTTGCCCAGTCTACAGTTCCTCCAGGCTTCCCATGCCCTCTCCCCAGTATGGTTTAGCATCTACTAATCAGAGAAAACATTTGGCCTTGTTTTTTTGGGTTTGGCTTACTTTGCTTAACATGATATTCTCCACCTCCATCCATTTACCTGCAAATGCCATAATTTTATTCTCTTTTAATGCTGAGTAATATTCCATTGTGTATATATACCACAGTTTCTTTATCTCCTCATCTATTGATGAGCATCTAGGTTGATTCCACAGTTTAGTTATTGTAAATTGTGCTGCTAAAATATTGATGTGGCTGTGTCACTATAGTAAGCTGATTTTAAGTCCTTTGAGTATAGACCGAGGAGTGGAATAGCTGGGTCAAGAGCCATTTTTATTAGTGCATTTTAATTATACAGAATAATGAGTTTCATTGTGGCATATTTATACGTGCAACTAATATTCTTTGATTATATCCCTCCCTCCTCCACTATTGTCCCCTGCTCTTTCCTTTCCCCAATGTACTTCTTCTCCTCTAATAGTCTAATTTTATTTATTTATTTATTTTAATTTTTTAATATTTATTTTTTAGTTTTCGGTGGACACAACATCTTTGTATGTGGTGCTGAGGATCGAACCTGGGCCGCACGCATGCCAGGCGAGTGCACTACCGCTTGAGCCACATCCCCAGCCCCTTTACTTATTTTTATTGTTATTATTGTTGTTGTTGTTTGGTGCTGGGTATTGAACCTTAGGGGCACTTTACCATTGAACTATATCCCTACCCCCCCTTTTTTTTGTAGTTGTAGATGGATAGCATGCCTTTATTGTTTCATTTTTATGTGTTGCTAAGGGTCAAACCCAGTGCCTCATACATGCTAGGCAAGTGCTCTCCCACTGAGCTATAGCCTCAGCCCCTCCCAAACCCTTTTGTATTTTTTTATTGTGAGGCAGGGTCTTGCTAAGTTGTTTAGGGCCTTGCTGAGTTGCTGAGGCTACCCTGGAACTCATGATCCTCTTGTTCCAGCCCCCTAAGGGATTGCAGGTATGCATCACTGCTCCTGACTTTAAGAATCAAGTTTTAAAAAAAGGTTTACTGGGCTGGGGATGTGGCTCAAGCGGTAGCACGCACGCCTGGCATGCGTGCGGCCCAGGTTTCATCCTTTCAAACAAAGATGTTGTGTCTGCCGAAAACTAAAAAATAAAATATTAAAATTCTCTCTCTCTCTCTAAAAAAAAAAAAAAAAAAGGTTTACCACTCACAACCCTCCACTCCTGCTAAAAATGAAAATTGCTTTATTTTGTGCCAAAAGAAAAAAAAAGTGATTCTTTTTAGGTGCATGTTCTATTTGCTTGGGTAAGATTGTTAATGTCTTTTTTTTTGCCCCTGGTATCAGGGATTGAACCCAGGGTCACTTAACCACTAAGCCACATCCACATTCCCAACACTTTTTATTCTTTTTTAATTTTGAGACAGGGTCTTGCTAATTTGCTTAGGGCCTCCTTGAATTGCTGAGGCTGTCTTTGAACTTGGAATCCTTCTGCCTCACCTCTGAGCTGCTGGGATTGCAGGTGTGCGCCACTGTGTGGCTGTTAATGCTTTTAAGCTATTAAATATAAATATCTGAGCATATATGAGAAGAAAACAGAGGGGGACAGTATGCTTGAAATGTTTTATTTTTCCTATCATAAAAACAAAGTTTGATAAGCTTATCATGGAGCATGTGTGTAATCCTAGCAACTCAGGAGGCTGAGGCAGGAGGATCCAAGTTTGAAGCCAGCCTCAGCAATTCAGTGATACCCTGTCTGAAAATAAAAAATAAAAAGAGCTGGGGATGTAGATCAGTGGTTGAGTGCTCCTGGGTTCAGTTCCCAGAACCAAAATAAATAAATTAATAGTATGGTCTTAAATTTGAAAAATATAATATTTAAACACTTATCTTTTTTGTAATATATTTTTTAGTTGTCAATGGACCTTTATTTTATTTATTTATATGTGGTGCTGAGAAGCAAATCCAGTGCCTCACACATGCTAGGCAAGCGCTCTACCACTGAGCACAGTCCACATTTATCTTTTTCCTTAGCAGCAGATCACTAGTTCCCTTTGTGTATCTAGGGATCATTGTGGAAAAGTAGTTGAAACTATGGAGTCAGGCTTCCTGAGAAAGATAGTAGTAATAGCCCTGGGCTTATACCTTACAATATTAGAAACCACAGAAGAAAGAGAACTTCCCTTTCTCTGCTGTTTTAGCAAACTTCTGTCTGGTAGACTTACACTTGGCCTGACTTGGGTCTTCAGTCATCCTGGAGGCCATTTCCTGCGGGCAGGTGGTGGAATGCTTTGTATGACCAGGTTTCAATTTTATTTCCACTGTGGATTAGGGAAATGGGAAACATGGTTTCAAATCACATGAATTAGAAGTGGGGGATATTTAGTTTCCAAGTGTAAATTGAGGTGTAATTTCCTGGATTAGGGAGAATGGTTGCTGGATAGGTAAAAATGACAGGTGTTTGTATGTATTTGGGTTTTTTTTGTTTTTTTTGCTCTACTGGGGATTGAATTCAGGGCCTTATGCATTGTAAGTAGGTACAATAGTACTGAGCTGCATCCCCAACCCTTTTGTTTTCTTTTTAAATGTTTTTTAGTTGTCAATGAACCTTTATTTTATTTCTTCACATGCAGTGCTAGTAATCAAACCCACTGCCTCACACATGCTAGGCAAGCACTCTACCACTGAGCCACAACTCTGGCGGTCCCCCTTTTCTTTTTTCTTTTTGAGACAGTGTTTGGTTAAATTGCCCAGGTTGACCTCTAACTTGCATTTCTCCTGCCTCAACCTGGCTTA